GGAAACGGACAAAAAGGGAAAGAGAGAAGGGGAGCAAGAGAGACAGAAGGAAAGAGAGAAAAAGGGAAAGGGAGAAGGAGAAAAAGAGAAAGAAGGAAAGACAGAAAGAAAAAATAAAGAAAAAGAGGAAAAAGAGAGGGAACGTACGCTGTCGAAAATGAAAAAGCGTCGCTTACCGTGCTAGGTGCGGGCCGACGTTTCCTGTGTCGAAGGTAGAGCTGGCCGTGATATCCGCGTCCGGGATCGCGCCGGATTCCATGCCGAGCGGCGCGATGCATTGGGCTGAAACAAACGAAACGATCCTGCAGGTTAAAGCTCTCACGAATTTACATAGGGGTATATATCGATACGCCCGTTCCGCCCTCCCCCCGGACACGCTGCACACCCTCCTCCACCTGAAACCCCCTTCTGGATCATAAACGGCTAAATAACCGGCTAACCAGAGATGAATCCGGCGGATAGAGCCGGTTTACGTTCTTGTATACGAGCGTCCTCTCCTTCGAGAAAGGGGGGCCAGGACGCACAGTAGGAAGGACTACCTCAACGTTTCCGTATCTCCGGGACCGATCAAATTGTTTCATAGGGGAACACGGCAGCGTTATGGGGACGCAATGTATCCTGCTACCAAGAACGGCCTATCTTGATACAATATTGTCCGGCGCGAGGACTACCCCGCGTTATTTACGGTTCTGTTCGCGTCACGCGTCCCCGTGCCGCGGAAACTTCGAAACACCTCGGACTCGAGATCATCGGGCTCGGAACTTGGGAAAGAGGTGCGGATGGTTTATGAGAATGACTCCGAAGTCGTAATACGTGCTACATTGGTCTTGATTATTGGATTAGAAGGAAACAATTCTAAAACCATTCTTTTTTTATGGATTGTAATGCTATTGATTATAATACTACTTAGTAGATAGGATTATAATAGTTTTAACTACTGTAGTATTATAGTAGGTAACTTACAAATATACGTGTAGAGGAAAAGGTGCTAATTTGGCCTCACCAGTTTTATATTTTTCTCTAAAATTTGATTCGTAACTCAAATTGCTTTAAATTTTTGTGTAAAATCTAGGTAAACAAATGTGATTACTTGAGATAAAAAATGAAACTGTGAAGAATACAATTTAATTGAATTAAATCTGTATTACGAAGATAACTTATTTTTGGAGATTCTACAAAAATGAACATAATATATCCCTCTTGCAAAAATGATAATAAAATCATTTTTCGTAAGATTTCCAAATTAAAAGTAAACAAATAGAACAAATTTCTTTACGTACATACAAAAATTTCACTATATTCCTTTTTCATACAATATACTTTGTGCTCATTATTAATCGCTCATATGAATGCTCATAATTAATTAAGTTAGTACGTATAATGTCGGTTTATCGAATATCAATTGTCACAAAATACATTCGTGTAACATATCAAAAGTAAAAAATGAAATTATCTTAATATAATAATGAATTTTTCGTAAATCACATTACCCTTTTTTATGGGGGATCAAAATAAATACTAACATGCGTAACTTGGAAAATTTTAACTGTATATTTGAAACATTTAAAATATCAATAATGAAATAATTTCATTTATAAATATCGATTCTACCTACTTTTTATAAAATATATTTTAATATACAATTCTTTAACTTATACAAGTCGCAAGAAATATTTCTTTTTCGGATCGACGTAAAACATTCATCCTGAAGTCATATTTATTATGCTCTTTATTAACAGAAATAATGCATTATGTAGTGTAAGTTAATTTACCCATACATAATTCGAATAGATGCAATTAACAGCACCATGAATTACTAGATACAGTAGGAGAAAAAATTATGGGGACAGGTGGTGATAAGCGGTATCAAAGCAGTTTAAGCAAATTCATATTAATGGAATATCTTTAATTTTCATTTATTATATATCCTCACAGTACATAGAATATTTAGTAAAAAGTTGAAAATAATATTTATATTTTTGTAGAAGTAAACGATATTAAACTGAAAAGTCAACTATTTGTCGATGGACAAAAATATGTGGATAAATATTAAAATTTGTAATATAAATTAAATAAGTAATGAAATTAATATTTTATATTGCCGCCTTTTGCTTGAATTACGGCTTTCAAATGTCGTGAAATACTATTTATTAAATTTTCGATCTACATTTTATCGATTTTTTAAAATTTTGCATGTAAGCATTTGAAAAAATCTGTTTTATTATTCCGTTTATTCAGTGAAACCCTCGTATTTAATAAATCCTATAAATCCTCAGTGGAGTTCAAGTGGGGGCTCTGTACTGGCCATTAAAGCCAATTAATATTTGAATCCTTTAAAAATTGCTTGGTCTTTTTCGCAGTACGTTTCGAATTCTTGTCTTGTTGATATAAAAATCTTTCTTCGACCCTCATTTTTAAATTGGTTTCTTTCAAATCTTCATTTAATATATCAATTATTATTGGTTTATATTCATTGTATCATCGGTTTTAACTGATGCCTCAATCCGATACCATGAAAAATACGCCCACACCGTCAATGCTCCCCCGCAAAATTTTGTCAATGTATGGTTTACATCTAGCTTTACAGCACTTCAATCCTACTTTCTTTAATTTTCGCTTTATTTTTTTTACAGAGATATTTAAATTTAATGATTCTACAATGTTTCTGGCGGAAATTGTTGCATCTTTTCGACATTTTTGAAGAACAAGACGGTTCTCTTGTATGGTAGTGCAAAGTTTTCGTCTGCGATCTCTTAAACTTTCCACAGTAATATGAATTAAATATTTTTTATAAATCTGCTCTACTACGCTTTTAGATATAAGGTACTTCCTGGCAACAGTACGATAGTTCATGTTATTACAACAGTCCGAAACAACTAACCCGCGAATTTGATTTGCAATTTCTCCAATTTTCGATAATAGCGACACTGAGAAGGTTGTATGAAATTGGTTTTTGCAAGTATTAGCAGTGCACTGTGTTCACATTTTTCACCTCGCAATAAGACTGCAATCAAGTGTCCATTTATTTTCGTCCCTCAACAGATAGATGAATTTTATACTTAATATCGTGCATTTAAACAAAAAAGTAAATATAAATTTCAATTTTTCAATAAATAACTTCTGTATTATGAGAGTCTATAATAAATCAAATTTGCACATATAACATTAGTTTAAATTTGTTTAAAATTCATTGACACATAGTATCACCTCTTGTCCGCATAATTTTGCCTCCGACTGTATGTCTGTTATAATATAGAAAATCGGGAGGGGGCTACGTTATCACGTTTTCCTCTTTAGGTACGTGATTTAGTAGGACTTTCGTCATTGTAAATTAATCTAAAATTCGGTATGCATTTAATGGTTTATATTCTGGTTTAAAAAACAAAATTTACTTATGATTCCACTGCATAGGTGTATCAATTTATTAGAGGATATTACATAACTTCAAGTTCTGCAGAACAGAATAATAATCTTCTTATAAAAAAATGAAACAATTTATGTTAAAATAACAGAGCTTCTATGTCTATCTTAAAATTAATACGAACCGTCGATAAATAAAATCAGCATATGATCATCAATTCAATGGAAAAATCTAATATTCCTTCTCTATAATCGTGCTGCATCATATAATCCTATATAATCGTATTATCCGCCCATAATCGTATCAACGAGATGAACAGCGAACAGTGAGAAGGAATAAGTTAAAAGCGAATCGTTAGCCAATGTACAATCGTGGAATCATGCTAGGCAATAGCGTGCGATAGTTATCGTCGTTTGCTATAAAATGGAATTTGTCACGCAGAATTTATATAAAATATTTCATTAAAATTATCTTCCATGACATTACGTAATTGTCCTGTATCTTTTACGCAAGAATGATTCCACGACGAAAAAATATTTTATTTTCAGGCTCAATGCATTTACTAATAATTTTCGCATCTTATATTCATTTTTAAAGCATTTGTGGGATAGGCCACTGTGTAGACGGAGACGAATGGTAAGTAACATGTGCAATATCTAATTCCCAATGGATTTTTGTTAATTTCAATTTTTCGCTGGTTATAGTAGGCATGTGTATTTGGTATTGTTAGATAGCGAGATGACAGCACGCAACCAATAAATGTACGTACAGTCAATCCTCAAATAACACGATTAATTGGTTCCGTATTATTCGAGTGTGTATTTTAATAGTGATAAGGTTAAATTTCTGCTGTAATTACAGTGCAGATTATAGTACAACTTCAGAATGTATCTTCTTAATTGTGCAAGATTTTAATTAACAACGTAAACTACTGCTATTAAGAATTATTAGAACGTAGATTTTAAAGAAACGGTGTAACAAGTACCGTTCTATCTGAAGGTTACTGTATTTTATACTAAATATATTAGAATTTTGTAGCTGCTATCTAACCACATGATGAATACTTTCATTTATTTATGTTCTAAAACTGAGTACATGTAAAACTTGCCGACACTGGTGTTCTTTGTCACGACCGAGATGCCGCAGAGAGCGTTTTAAACAGAAATGTTTTAAAACATGAACTCTCTATTTCTCTGAACCCGTGCTTCGGGGTCGTCTTTTTATAAAGTGTTCGAAATCCTTGTCGTATGTTTTACGGTGTCACAACGTTTCATAAAATATCATAAGGATGCATAAGAATTGTATCATAACGGATCATAAACCGGCATCGAAATCGACTCGTTCATGTCGCATAGCTATGTGTCATAGTTTAATGGTAACATGATACAGGAAATCTGACGTGATAGGTTATACATTTATTTCTTGCATCATATGAACATTGGCTTATTAATTCGTTTATTAAACTAAATTTCAGATAGTGAAAACAAATTACGAAAGTATTTAATATCTCATGAAATGATAAAATACAAAATGCCAAAGTATTCGTGTCATTGGTTTATGTATTCAACAGATGTATTCGATGTTTTAATTCAATTATCAGGTATTTCAATTATGAAAAATATCGACATTGACCACCACTGGATGCACGCAACAGGGTTCGCATTATTTCGAGCACGTGCAACGAAGAACGTATTGAATCCTCCGAGATGGCCCGGTCCGCCCGCAAGAACGGTTCTATTATCGAGGAAGGGTAGTGCGATCGCGGTCGGGGTCGGTTGCGCGGCCCGTGTCGATTGTAATTTATGCATATCGAAGTTCTATTACCAACTAAAATACGGATCGGTAAAATTTGCTGGGGCGTCGTTCAACAGAATGGACGGGGATACGCGGCAAATAACGATAGAGCCTAATGCCGGATATC